GACCATCTACCTGCCCCACTAGGCTGCGATCTCTCTGTGGATAGGGGCCGTCTCATGCTCAGCTCTCTATCTATCCAGGGCTTGTTCATGCTCAGGAATGTCTGAGGATGGGACCATAGGTCTACAGTCCCAGCTTCTTAAGAAGCTGGTGCAACAATGATTCTGCCTGTGAGAGTATCCACTGTCACAGGAGTTCCAGGCTCTGAAATGGATGGAGGATGTGAGATGAGGCACTGTCCTCCCAGCCAGCAAGGTTATTCACCTTCGTCTCCTTTCTCTCCTTTGTGGTGGAGAGACAGCTAAAGGTTAGAGGAAAGACAAAGGCACTTGGTTTTGAAAGTAAAACACCTGCTTTGGGGTACAGACCTTACTATCTATTCATCATGTGACTTACGGAAGATACTTTAATGTCTCAGGGCACCAACTTCCTCAACTGCAAAATGGGTTTAATAATAAACATACCAACAGTACAAGGTCACTGTGAAATGGACTAAGATGCCATATATGAACATACTTATCACAGAGCCTGGCACCTTGTCAGAAGCTGATTGGCTCCATGCCAATGCCCAGTCCCAGGCCTCCATGTAGGACACAGCTGTACCAGCAGCTTCTGTCCACGTGGAAGAAAAGCTGGCTGACCAGCAAGAGCGGAGTGGAGCTCGCCTCTCTCCCCGCCTCTGGGCTGCCACTGATGGTGCTGGGAAGAAACTCGGGGTCTGGAGTCAGAGAACCTTAATCCAGTCCCATCCCTACTCTTCACTGTGCAACTCTGGGCTTACTTACTTTAGTTCTCTGACATTAAGTTTCCTCCCTTACAAAACTGGAGTACTATCTACTGTATGGGGTTTCTAAAAGGCTTAAAAGTGGGATTTATATAAAGCATAAGACCTAGCACATAGTAGGTACCAATAAAAGTTATCTTCCTCTTTGGGCTTTTGCCACTAGGAAGCTCAGAGCCAAATGAGAATTTGAGAGTTATCAGCCTGTATATTCAGATTAACTTTTAACATAATATAATGACACTTTAATATAAACTGTCCTTGACCTTCCTGTCTTCACTTATGTTTTCCCGATCCTGATTATTTATTTCTCTTACAGCTATTTATTGTAGGTACTTTAAATGGATATTTTTCTCAAGTTCTTTGCGGAACCAGGCGGACAGAACCTAACTGATATCAGGAGAACTGGGTCCTTTAACTTGACTGTGCAAATGCCTGTGTGATTTGGGGCATGGAGTCTCTCTGAACCTCAGTTTCCTCATCTGTAGAATGAGAGTAATAAGTTTACAGAGTGAACTATCTGTGCCCAATAGGTAAGTGAGCCTGTCACATGGGAAAGACAGGCAACCAAAGCCCATCACATAGGAATTCAACAGCGATTTGTTTTGAAGCATTTTGACTTGGACCAAAAATAAACAAGAAGATGACACCATGAATAGAAGATATAAAGACGATGATTTAAGCACGGATATAAGAAGAAAACACTGGAAGAAAGACCTAGAAACTGATCCTCCTGAGTGAAAGATCTCAGAAAAAAAAGTCAGGTACCCAGGGCAAAAAGTCTAAATCAGATTACTTAAAGCCAGTATTTCTTTAAACTGAAAACAATGCACATTGTTTGTCCTTGAATTGGGACATGCAGTCCTTTTTTCAAGAATGTCAAAGCAATGGCCCAGACCTGACAAAGCCCCATCACCCTTGCCACGGGGAGATCGTTGTTCCTAATGCAAAACTGGGAGGCTTGATTGAATGAATGTTGAATAACCAAACATAGCGATGAAATGGAATAGAAAACCCCAGAAAATAGAGCTATGCAGGAAAACAGTTTGAATTAGGCCAGGGCCCACCTGTTCAATAATAAAATAATTGCTCACAGCATGTTCTTCTGTAATTTTTTCCAATGTGACATCTATTCTTGTGCTCTGCCTCTCTCAATGCTTCCTCAACATTTGCAAATAATCTCAGGGCCTCTTAATGACACTGATGCAGAAGCCAGACAGTCACTTCCCTAATGCTTCAAAAATAGATTCAATTTTACATACATCAGGCTGATTTCAGAAGCAATTTCTACATCTCCAGAGTAAGCATTACTTACATTTTTTTCTCCCTCAAATCTTATTCCAGAGGTCCCACAAGGCATTTTAAAAGGTACCTGATGCATTCCACAGCATTCAGAAGAATCCCCAGAGCACGTTTGTGGCTGTGGCCTGAGGACCTAGATGCATAGATGGAATCCTAAAATGTTGATTGATTTAAGCAAATGCAAAATTTCTTAATAATTGAATATAATGTCAATTGAAATTTGTTCTTTCTGTCTTTTAAAAAAGCAATGTCATTAGAATGAATATGTTTATACACATATGTCTATGTGTGTTGCATATATATGTATAACACACACATATATCAATCATGGAAATACTGTCTCTGGACTTTAAGACTTTTAAGAGATTCTATACAGCATGCTTTCTGTCCTCTCTGGCTGGCTAATCAACTTCAGTCCTAGGTGCTTTCCTCTTAAGAGTCTAAGTTTTAGCCCATGGGGAAAATAGTGGTGATGTTTCCCCTTGGAATCTAAGACATTGGTGTTACCCAGAATTTTACTTCAGATCAGAAATCTTACAATCATATACCTACATCATATATCTTTGACCATTATCTTTTTGGCACGTGGAGTCCTCCAATGACATCCTTACAGATGGACAAAAGTGTGCACAAGAGACTGGCCTGTACAGGAAAGGGTTTGGGGTGAGTGGGTAACATTTGGTCAGTATGTTCCATCAGTTAGACTTGCCCCGCGGCCAAAAGTAGGGGAGTTGGTGACAAGTTCATATAGCCAGAGGCTGGGGGGCTCAGTAAGTACATATCAAGCCTGCTTCCTTGCTCCCTCCATTTCTGCCTCTCCTGGCCTATGTCAACATCCCCTTGTCCTGGTCCCTAAGGAATGTGTGAGTCTCAGCAATTCACCTTGGTTGAGAATGGAGAAAGGACTGGCTTAGTGGTGTAACAGACTACAAACTTGCTTTGTACTCTGAGAGAAATGGAAGTTAAGTATTTGCTCATGAAATAATCAGTATGTGCCATTAGGCTTAGTCTTTAAAAGCCATTACTCAGCCAGAAGAAGGGCTCAGACTTCATCAATAATGGCCAAAGTGACAGCATCTGTCTATTGATAGGATGCAAAGGGAAGCACACAACATCATCCATGTCGTATCTGTGCCAACATGTTTAACCTGAATGTAATCATGATAAAAAAATTTGATAAATCTGGATCGTGGAACACTCTGTGGGACAACTGGTCTATGGTTTTAAAGAATGTCAGCATCCTGAAAGATAAAATAAAGATGGGAGGGCTATTCTAGATGAAAGAGGATGAAGAGACATGATGACCAAATATAATGGGAACACTTTGCTTGGATCCTGGATTAAAATAATAAAAAATATTTGAGGGCCATCGAGGAAATTCAACTATGGGCTGGTATATTACATGTTGAAATAAGGTTACATATCTTGGTTAAGATAAGTTTATTGTGGTTACGTTGAAGAGCTGTCCTAGTTCTTAGGAAACACATGCTGAATTCTCTGGAAATAGAGCGCCATGGTGTCTGCAACTTATTTCTAAATGGTTGAATATATGTGTATATATATGTGTATATATATGTGTATATATATATGTGTATATATATGTGTATATATATATACACACACACACATATATATATAATTATGAACCATTTAGAAATAATATGTATATCATATATATATGACATATATATATATCATATATATAGGTGAAGAGAGAGCACACAAGAATATCACAAATAAGAGCAACTGGTGGATCAAGATGAAAGCTATAAGAGTATTCATTTTACTGTTTTCCCCCCAACTATTTTACAGGTTTAAAACTAATCTCTCTTTCCCAAGGCAACACATCGATATTTGAAAAAGCCATTTCCTCCCTTGAAGTTTAGTGTTCTTAACCAGGGTGCCCATAAGAACCCCTTGAGTGGCTTTTACAAAACCCAAGTTCCTCCCTGCCCCTCATCCCCTCTGCCTTCAGGAGATTTCAACACAGTGGGAAAGGTGTGGGGCCCAGATATGTGTATTTTGTAAACTGGGTTGGTTCTGTGCTGCGCAGGAGGTTCAGGACAGCGGGTCTGTGTTACTCGCAGACCCTGGATCCATTAGGAACTAGCTGTGGAACTCTTGGAGGGTTGGCAAAACACACTGAGCCTTGGGGACCTTATCTATAAGGTGGGAACAATAACACTGGCTGTGGTGAGGAGAATGGAGGTCAATACATATTTTGCTTGTTTTATTTCTCCCTCTTCTCATAGATCCCCACATCATACCGAACTGATCATATCTAAAGTGATTTTTTAAAAATATGGTCCTTCCATTTGCCATTGGCCCAGTTTGTGTAGGTCATCTGTCCGGGCTCACATGACTTTAGGTTTCCTGCCTTCCCCAATGTGGGGCAGAGGCTAGGGAAACTAGCCTTCCTATAAACCCACGAAAAGAACTGGCTGACAGAAAGGTAAGAACCAAAGTCAGCTTTTCTGAGCCTCAGATTCCTAGGCATCTAACACGGAGACAGTAATAACCCAGGACTCATCTACTTTACATGGTTTATGTGAAACACTGTTTTGGAAACCCTAAGATACTCAATTCAATATGGCACCTTTTTCTCCTTAAGTGTATAACCATGTCCTCCCCCTCCTTTTCTACTATTACTAGTTTTAAGCTGTCTGTATTCGTGTCCACAAGCCATTAAATTGGTTGCCCCCATTTTAAGGCACATTCTTAAATTCTTCTTTTCACAAGTTTCATACAGGATGAGTGGCCCCAACTTTCTCCAGGGAGAACTGTCATCCTGGACCACCCCAGGGAAACATCCCGACCCCATGCCCAACAGCACCTGACCACAGTAAGGGGTCCACAGCAGAGGTGCCAGGGTTGAGCCGGACCATAGATGTTCCCTTCCCCCAAGTCGGCTCAACTTACTGAATCCATTAACATCCTGAGAGCTGGAGGAGAAGCCTTCATCGTTGCGGCTGGTGGTGAGCTTGGTGGTAGGTTTGTCGGTCGAGGCCACAGGCCCCATCTCCCTCTGGGCTCCACTCTGTGTCTCCTTCTGCTTCTTGGCCAGCTTCCTTTGGGACATGTGCAAGGGGAAAAGTCACGGTCAGATGATGCCAGTTGCATGACAGCACCGAGAAGATCAGATTGCTCTCCTTCCCTGCCCATCACCCTCAACCCCAAACCAGGTTACATCTCTAGAAACAGAGTCAAAGTGGATCCTCCAATGTCAAGGTGGAATAAACCTAAATCCTCCTAAAACCATTAATGACTTCTATTTGCTCAGAAATATAATATACATCCTACCTCATCCCCATCTATGGGTGTGTTCTTTAGACTGAGCTTAGAACAAGAATTCAGTGAGACTTTCATGATGCTTCCCTTTCTCTCCTGTTAAAAGGAGGGAGAGGCCAGATGGATCTTCCTAGTCCAATGGCTCTGAATGAGATTTAAATGGAGCCTGGACTTTCTCAGGGACTGAGCTCAGGAAATAACCCAGAAAAATATGGTAGATTGAAGTAGGGGTTGAAGGTTGGCAGTGGGTAACGGTGGAGTTTACTTAGTCTTGTAGCTCAAAAGGAGAAAAGTAGAAGCCAAACCTGATGTATAGCTTCCTCCATAGGAATAATAGAGTCTTAGACCCAGGTGGGCATCTATAATGGACATCTCAATTAGTATCTAATTATACTAGTTGACAGCGGTGTTTTCAAACTCGGATGTAAACTGGAATCATTTGGGGAGCTGAAACACACACACACACACACACACACACACACACACACAGGCCCTGGATCACAGGGGTAGGACAGTGCCTGGACCTATGCATGTCCACCAAGTTCCCCAGGCCATTCTGGCACTGTCCAGTGAAGGTTAAAGCCATCAGTTTTGGCATCAGGCAGACCTGGGTTCATATCCTACCTCTACCACCTGCCAGCTGCATGACTCAGGGCAAGTTCTTTAACCTCCTTAAGCTCTGCACTCTTCCTCTGTATACCATGGCAAATAACAGGACCAATGTCCAAGGGTTGTGAGAATTAAGAGAGACAATGTGTGAAACACATACAGTACAGTGGCAGCACATAGTGAACATTCAACACGTGGCAGCTGCTATTCTTGTTTTTATATCAGACATTCCAATGTCTGAACACCCCTTCAACAACCCCACTGTGAAATCCCTGAGCTGTATCAAGTGAGGGAGACTTTGATACCTCACCAGGCAGCTAAAGGGTTAAAAAGTTCTTATCCGTATGGATTTGAAATCTACTTCCCTTTTTAACTGATTTGTCTTAGATCTATCATCAGAGATAAAGAACTATGACTAAGCCCTCTTGCATATGACAGTTCTTCAAATATTTCGAAAAGACAACATTGGTCCCTCTGAGTTTTCCCAACATTTACGCATTTAAACATGGTTACTATGTTCCTATGATACGAAAGGCAATGGGTTACACATTAAATATCTTGAGTGTAAATTCTTCCAGGTCTCTTCCTCCATTTTTCACAGAACTTGCTTTCAAATTCAATCTCAGTCACTTCTCTCTCTCAATATGAAAAGAACAGATGCCCCAGGGAGGTCAAATTCAGTGCCATAAAAGGAATATTTTTCTAAAGTTGAGCCCTCCTGATTATGAAATAGGCAGTTTCAATAGGTAATGATCTTCCTGTCAGAAGAGGTATTAAACAAAAGGATAAACCTGGACTTAGAAGTATTTTGGAGGAGTTCATCCAGGATCAGTTGTAGTCTGACAGTGTGATAGTAGCCTCCTTTGTGTGGGTCCCTTGTTCTGGGTGTAGATTGCACAGAAGAAGGACCGACGACACTCTTAAATGAGGGTAATTTGAGAACAGTTTATGTATGGAAGGACCACCAACAAAGGTGAGAAAAGACTCTGTGACCGGAGAGATGTTGGTCACTTGCATGTCCTGAAGGAAAGCAGAGAAAGCAGTAACCAAAACCCAAAAGGAGAGAGTTGTGAAGGGGAGGCCACCTGCATAAAAGTGGCCTTTCCTGAAAGGAGCCAGCCAATCCTGGGTGACTTCCCAAGGAGGAAGCCAGAGGCATCAGTGGGAGAGGGGAACTTACATGCTCCTCTCTCCCTCTGACCTCCTACAGTGGCTCTCATTAGCTGGACCTGCTGGGAGCCAGTGGCCTGGGATCTGCATAGATCTAGCTCTGAAAGCAGAGAGCACAGGGCCGGGGCATGCGGAGTGTATCCGGATTCTGGAAATCCATGCCAAGGAGACAAGAGATATTACCTCCCTCCTTTGGCCACAATTTGTATACAAACTCAGGCTAAAATGGAATTCTTCATCATTTATTTATGCATCTGCCCCATTGACCTGGGAAAGGGTGACACTTGGGCAGAGGGATGCGAGGCTATGTCCCCAGGTATACAGTTCCATGAGTAAACCTGTTACAGGCAGAGAGAAAAACAAGAAATGAAGCATTGGACCAGCTGTGGCTTTTCTCACCATCCACAGGCAATCAGACAGGGAATGGGGGGGGCACAAGGAGGGGAAAATGAGAAACTCCGCTATTGATGACATTTCAAAGTTTTATTCTTCATTTATGATCAAAAAGGAATATGTTTAAAAATGTATATGTGACCTTCTTAATCATAAATTTGAAGATATATGGCAGATCCTTTGCCTCTCTCGGAGCTTTGCTCACATTGCCCCAGCAGGAAATAAAAGGAAATCTGATAAGAGAGTAAACTCTAAAACTATAAATGAGTATGTATTGGAGTCTTTGATATTTCCTTGGGGGCGGAACTCCTAACCAATCTCATTCCATTCAGGGTAAAATAATATGGAGAGAGTTGTCTTTGGCACAAATCACTGCTTTCCAAAGGGATCATGTTAATAAAAAATGGCCTCACTGCGTCTATGAAAAATGGAATTTTACAGACGTGTTGGGGTAGCTCTGAACACCTGGATAAAAATACAAAAATTTGATCCTTTCCAAGATGTATTTAAAAACTGGGCAACTAGCTGAGTTGTAAAAACTGACCTGTGACACCCCTAGACCTTATCCCATGGTTGGCGCTGCATGTTCCTGCCGACGATGATGCTATATAATAATTTTAAAAAATATAGACAGGTATTTCCGATTAATATGCTACAAAGTTGAAATGGTGGGAATAGAAGGCAATAAAGCATAAAACCGCAGTTTGGGGACCTGTCCTTATCAGAATTCAAAATTTAAGTATAAGGAAAAATATTCTTATACATATTGCCATAGAGTTTAATTGATTCTCGTCCCTTTTTAGAGAGGGGAACATCCAAAGCAGTGCACAGAGCACATGAGACCCTGAGACTATGACTCCAAGCTTCAATCCAGCCTCATCTTCCACACCTTGCTCCTTTTAGGAAACACCAACTACTCCTTTCCCTCCTGCAACCATTCCTCAATATTCTTGTTTTTTAATGTGTCCCCATTCTTCTCCACTGGCCACGTCTCCTTCAAGGCTCAGTGGAACTCCAAGGTCATATCTTCTTGGGGTTTCCTCTAGACACATTTGCGGTTTTCTCTGCTTGGTTGACTCCCGCTTTGAACAAATATTTGTCAAGCACCTACACGTGCCAATCTCTGTGAGATGAAAGAAGGTCATAGTGACAGATCACTAAATGTAACCTTGACCTGCATAAAACACGGAGTCTAATGGCAAAGACAAGCACTACACAGACAACACAGAACAAATACAAAATCACAAAGGTTTTAACAGCTGAGGAGGAGAAACACACGAAGCTGTGAGAGAGCTAATAGCTGGTTTGCGTCCTGTTAGGAGATCAGAGAAGGCCTCATTGCCATGTTAGCTAAGCACTTCACTGGCCCAAACGCAGTGATACAACACTCCCGCCCACTGGGGCAAGAACCTCTTGAATGAAGGGCTTTTGACTTCTTGCACCTACTCCAATTTCTTGCTGAGTGTCTGGCACATAGCCGGTGTCAATAAATTTGTTGTACAAATTTATATTTAAAATTCTACAATTTGAAGTGCAGAAAGATTGTCATCCTACTCTGACTGCAAATTACAACCACTTAAAAAAAAGATACATGCAAGGGAAGAGGAAGAAAAACCTGCATGAAATTATTCTTTGACCTGTAATATTTACACTTATAATATTTTTGGGTAACAACTTAGCATTTCCTCCCCATGGTGGTCTCAAGCCTCTTGGGATGATTGAAGAAGTAATGGAATATTCACAAAAGTCAGAGGTTTTCCCCCTCAGAGCCCACAGAATAGCCATAGCTATACATTTTTTAAAAACCCCTCATAAAATAGTAACAGGATGCAATAGTCATATAACTTCTAGAATCCTCAGATCCTTGAAGACTCAAGTGCTTCTGACTTCACAAACTTGGAATTTTCCTTTTCTCCTTGTTCTGAGATTCTTGCCAGTTGGGTCGCACAATTTCACCAGCAGGGGGTACCAAAAGCTGTAAAAAGAGAGCGTGCACAAGCCTGTATATTCCTCTGCAGGTTCATTTCCAGAGCTGAAGAATGCTTTAAGACGTAGTAATCCGAAGTTTACTGCTCCTGACAGGCGGGGACAGTATGATGTGGCTGCAGCTCTTGATAGTCTGTCTTCTAACAGATCACTCTGAGGTCTCTCTGACCTTTGCTTGGTAGCTGAGTGAGGGCAGGTGGCGGGGAGGTGCCTGTGATGGCCCACGAGGCCTGCGTTTATTCCGAGCCCCACTCTGTATAGGGGGCAGTGGCGGGGGGAAGGCTTGCGGGCGGGGGCTGCAGGGCTGTGAAGAGCTCTGAAACCCTGCTATGAGAGGAGGAGGGGCTGAAACAAACACGCATATGTCTTACGGAGGGGGAATTCTCAGAAATGCTCTCTTTACACATCTGACTTCTGGCTCTGGGTGGCCCCAGGGTGCAGCATCAGAACCAGACTGGCTTGACAAAAAGATGGCACTTCTAGCAAAGTGGAACTATGTGGGTGTCTTTTGGAAGTGCCCAATGCCTAAATTGCCCTTCCTTATTTTTGTCCTTTGGCAACCTTCTCTCCCCTTTTTAAGGCCCAACTCAAATGGTTCCAATTTTGAGATTTCATTGTCTGC